TGAGGGGGAAAGTAATTAATTGATCTCAGGGTGCGATCCATACTCTGGGTGGGGGGGGGTGAGCCTGTAAATGCTCTGATAAGTCCGAAGCCGATGCTCTTGTCTTGCTCGTGGGGTGAGCCCGAAACAGCGCGGCGACGTGTTGGAATTTTTAAGATTTAATACACAAGCTGCTTCCGAGCGCCGCTCTTGTTGTTGCGTAAGTCGGTGGTGCTTTTAAGTGCCCCTTTCGTAGTGTGCGGCCAATGACGACCGGCAAAATCTTATTACATGCACCCATGAACACTGGTGGGGGGGACGAAAAACAAAACGCAGCAGAGCGCCCGTGACCCGGACGGCAAATGAACGACATGTATCATCGCTTTTTATGAGGCATGGCGGAAACATGCTGAGCGCGTACATATGCTGCCCGTGTCCCCGCAAATAACGAATCACCCTTGGTGCGCTCCCCCCCCTCCAGAGCCTCCCGACGTGCGACGAGGAAAGGAGAAAAAAGGAGGAGGACGCCAGGGGAGAAAGAGAAGACGAGGCCCGAGAAGAGAGGAGTAGCGACGAAGGCTTCATGGGAATGACGCCGCTTCTTCAGGCTCACCACGCCATGGAGAAGGTGGAGGAGTTTGTCCACAAGGTCAGCGCCACGCCTTAAAAAAAATTCTCCTAGGTGCCGTCGGTCCGCGTCACCTTCCGATCTCGCGTTCCTCCCCCCAAGGTGTGGGAGGGCCGGTGGCGCGTCATCCCTCACGACGTGCTCCCCGATTGGCTGAAGGACAACGACTTCCTGCTGCACGGTCACAGGCCGCCCATGCCTTCATTCCGGGCCTGCTTCAGGAGCATCTTCCGGATCCACACCGAGACGGGCAACATCTGGACGCACCTGCTAGGTGGCGCCGGCGCACGCGTTTGACTTTTACTTCTTGTGATGCTTCTGCGACTTGCTTAAAAATGGTGTCGGCGTCCATCCGCTCCCTAGGCTGCCTATTTTTCCTCTGCCTGGGCTTGATGTACATGTTCCGACCCAACATGTCTTTCGTGGCGCCGGTCCAGGAGAAGGTGGCTATTGGCATGTTCTTCCTGGGCGCCATCCTCTGCTTGTCCTTCTCGTGGCTCTTCCACACCGTCTACTGCCACTCGGAGGGGGTGTCCAGGGTCTTCTCCAAGTAAGACCCAGCATTACTTCAAGAAAATGTTTTTTTTGAAGCAATCTTTATTTTTTTCCTGTTTTTATTTTTATAAAAATTGGGAAATTTTATGCTTGCATTTTTGGGAGTTGTTGCTCAAATCCATTTACAATGTGTTTAAGGGTTTGGTTGAGGCACGTCTGTATTGGAGGATCAAAAAAATGAATTGTTTTTTATTTATGAGAAGCAGTTCATCATTCACCAAATCCTCCGAATTTTAGTCTCTCGACAGAAAATAATGTCTTCTGATTGTTTTGAGTCAAAATAAGGCTTTGGCGAGCATCTCCTTTTCCCTTTGGAAAGCGACAATCAACATTTTTGCCTATTTTCTGACATGTGACGGTCCAAAACAATAATTACGAGAGCATTTTCTTTTAAATTATTTTGAAAAAAATTTTTTTTTCAACAATGGCATGTATTTGAAAACTTTTTTTTTTATTTTTTTAAAATTTTATAAATATATATTTTTTAATTTCTGCTCATTTGTGTCCAACAGGCTGGACAACAGCGGCATCGCCTTCCTGAGCATGGGCTCGTTCGTGCCGTGGCTCTCCTGTTCCTTCTACTGCTCGCCGCAGCCGTGCTTCATCTACCTGCTGGTGGTGTGCGTGCTGGGCCTTTCCGCCATCACCGTGTCCCAGTGCGACTTTTTCGCCACGCCACAGTACCGAGGAGTCCGCGCAGGTCACTGCCGACGTCGCCGCTTTTTCCTTCCTCCGAGGTTGTCGCGATCTGTCGCTGACTGCGTGTTCCGCCGTCTCGCTCCAGGTGTGTTTGTGGGCTTGGGGCTGAGCGGCGTGGTGCCCACCCTGCACTTTGTCATCAGCGAGGGTCTCATCAGGGTCACCACCATCGGACAGATGGGCCTTTCCTCAGGGCCTGCCTCGGTTGTGTTAACTGAACGACGTAATGTGAGAGCAAGCACGGAAATACAGGAGACATGATTTTTTTTAATTTTTTTTATTTTTTATGATTATTATTTTTTACGGTTGAGTCATTTAAAACTTTGCCTGTGTCTTTCGACGCATATTAACGAGGTGCAGAATTTATTTTTCAAGTTCTTTGAGCTGAGACCCGGAACTAAAAGGCGGACCAAAACCGGAAACGTGTCATTGTTTTCCTCGGCGTTTTGTTCGCTCAGATTTTGAGTGTTCTGAGCGAAGTTAGTTTAGGTACTTTCGGTCTAAATCAGGCATTTTTGGATTTTTTTAATGCGCAGGAGACGACCACAGTGCAGGAACGTTGTCTCCGAGTCGGCTGCTGGCTGTCTGCGTGCAAAAGTGGCGACGTGTTGTGCAAAGGTAACGCGTGCTCAACTTTTCCTCCTTTTCACTGGAAGCTTCTCTAAAAGAATATTTTTCTCTTTTAAAAAAATAAATAAACATTGTCTTCTGTTTAGCTTGTCTCGATTCGATCAAAACATTGGGCGCATCCAGAGGAACAAGGGTGCACTTCAGCCCACCTAATCCAGGAAGACCCTTTCCCCAGGCAGCGTGACGTCACTTCTGGAAAACCGCAAGACATCAGTCAAAACATTCACCCAGCGTGGTTTTGATGGAAAGTGTTTGAGATGAAACCCACCAGCACAAGCACCGAATTCTCCTAAAGTTTGCCAACGTCTGTATGTGGTACTCTGGCTGAGGAAGAGAAAGTTGATGATGTTGGGCTTCACAGGCTAGCATGTCGCAGAGGCTGGCAGCGTTTGTCACCAATGTCTGAATGACCTTCTGAAGAAAGGGGAGGAAAAAAAAAAAGAATTTTTTCAGTTGACTGTCTGTTGGAATCTTCTGGAGCAGCCGCTGGATGACAAACAGTTGCCAGTTCTGCAAAGAGACGAAATGAGCAGAGTCTCATACAAATCCTCAAAAAAAAACAACCAAGCGCAACCAAGTGCTTTCTTGCGAGAAGGTCCCACGTTGACGTCATGGTGGGGCGGGGGCCAACTTGGATTTCTGGAGGGAAACAAGGTAAGAAATCCTTCAGGCCTTCAATGGGAAATTTGTAGTCAAACTATTTGTTTTTCAAGTCTGACCTTTTTTCACCCATCCTGTGACAGAGCGAAGGGGATGTCCAACCGCTTCTGAGGGCCTCAGAGTGGACAAGCCTGAACACAAACAGGAGGTATGCAATGGACCCGTCAAACTTTTAATTCTGTTTCATTTTAATGTGGGTCAACTTGAAAGATTTCAGCTGCAATTTCGAAACTTTGCCCAGCAGGCGCAGCGTCTTGGTGACCAGGGTGTGGAGTCCACAATGGCACCAACTGGAAGCTTCTCTGCACAGTCAAAAAGGGAAAAAAAAAAACAAACACTTTTTTGCATCTTGGCTCATCTCAAATAACGTTGATCATGAAGTCATGTTCGCTCCACCACCTGCAACAACAAACAGTCATTTTTAAAATCTGTCTTTTCCAACAGAGGCGTCACTGGCGAAAAACATCAACGGTACTTGAGCCTGTCCACTGTCTTCCCGGAGTGGATGCAGATTCAGGTTCTCCGGGGCCAAGAGGTGCTTTGGCACCACCTAGTGGACATGAGCAGAAAGAGACAAAATTAGTACAGGATGTGAAATGTACCTTTTTCAACTGTCCAGAGAGACATTCGTCCCAGTGCAGTTTTGGGGGAACCTGCAAAAGAGAAATGTGTTTAAAAATGTTCACTTCAGCCATCAGACTTCTTGGATTGATGCTCAAGGCCAGAAAGGGCGAGCTGTCCTTTCTGGTGTTTGCGCATGAACCCAGGAAACCTGCTCGGACCAGAAGCCAAACGTCTTCCAGGACAAAACGCAGACAACTCCGGTTGCCGCCCATAACCACACCCACTTTACAGAGCCCCGCCCATGCAAGAGAGGAATTTTAATGCAAATTTGTTTGCAAACCCCGCCCACAATTGCCCAAATCGACCAATCACAATGTGGCATGTAAATTTATTTTGAGAAACCCCGCCTACACATTCTCGAAGCAACCAATCAGGTTGCGGCACGCAAATATATTTGCATACGCTACGCCCACCCCGAAAAAATTTCGACATGCAAATAAATTTACATAACCACGCCCACAACTAATTTGCATACCCAATCAGATCACCACATGCAAATTTATTTGCATAGCCACGCCCACAACAGCTGGGATCAACCAATCAAAAGTCAGTATGCAAATTTATTTGCATAACCACGCCCACTTATAAACCAGAATCAGAAACCGAAGATTTATTTGCATAACCCCGCCCATAACCGATTAGCACAGCCAATCAGAATGTACGATGCAAATATAAAATTTGCATAGCCCCGCCCAGAGCGACGGGCGAAATTAATTTGCATAGACACGCCCAATTTTAACCCAATCAACCAATCACAGCATGGTATGTAAATATATTTGCATAGCCCCGCCCACAAACGACCAATTCAACCAATCGCAATGCTCTATTCACACATATTTGCATAACTCCGCCCACCACCAGGTTTGCATAACCACACTCATTATGCTAATTTATACTCATTAGCATAGCCCCGCCCACTCACACCAGTCAATCGGATTGCTCCTTTATTTGCATAGCCACACCCCTAGTCCCACCCACTTTCATTGATGAAGGAAGTCGAGATGTTTTTGTTTTCATTTTATTTTACAAGAATACATGTTCAAAGACAAAGTTAAAGTAAAAAAAAAAAGTTAAAGTTAAAGTAAAAAAAAAAGTTAAAGTAAAAAAAAAGTGAAAGTAAAAAAAAAAGTTAAAGTAAAAAAAGTTAGCCTTAAAATTACAAAAAAAAAAAAAGTTTAAAAATTACAAAAAAAGTGTTTAAAAAAAAACTCACCTAAAATGTCCAAGTTGGATGACTTTGCAGCCTTCTACTTTTCGTTGCCTGGTGAAGTCAGCCTGTGACAGCAGAGCTGGGCCAACACGTGGACCTAAGACAAAAATGAGATTGGAGAGTCTCAAATCCCCTTCTTGTGCAGCAAATGCAATTTGAAATGTGATCAAACTAACCAGCACAGAAGTTGTCTGGGACTCTGAACAAGTGCTCGCACGGCCACATCACGCTCAGCTCCTGCGCAACAAACAATATGGGGTCAAAGAAGGGATTGAGAAAACTGTCAAGCATTCAAAACTTACTGCCCATTGTGTAACCTTTTCGAGCTGATTGCATCAAGCCAAGTGTTGGACGACAGTCGCCGCCTGGTGAAGTGGACAGAGGAAAAAGGATTACAGTGCATTTCTGGTACAGCAAATTTTAGACAAGAAGAAACCTACCAGTGAGGAAGAGGACCTGGGACTTCTTGGGCAGTCATCGGACCTTGAAGAAAAACCGCCAAGCTGCAGCGCTTGCGCATGTATGCACCAGTGCAACTTTTCTTGTTGGCAGGCTGCTCCAAAGTTGGCTTCAGACCCTTCTGGACGTCGTCCTCCAGCTGACCAAACAGAAGCAGAGTAAGCGGTCAAAAATGGATGATGCATCACCAAGGTTTTGTTGACATGACCATTTATTTCACTTACAGACCGCAAGGAAGGAGAGGAACAAGGGTGCACTTCAGCCCACCTAATCCAGGAAGACCCTTTCCCCAGGCAGCGTGACGTCACTTCTGGAAAACAGCAAGACACCAATCAAGAAATTCACCAAACGGGGTTTTGATGGAAACCATTTGAGATGAAACCCACTGACACGAGCGCGGAATTCTCCCAAAGTTTGCCAATGTCTGTATCTTCTGGAGCAGCCGCTGGATGACAAACCGTTGCCAGTTCTGCAAAGAGACGAAATGAGCAGAGTCTCAGACAAACCCTCAAAAAAAACAACCAAGCGCTTCCTTGCGAGAAGGCCTCAGGTTGACGTCATGGTGGGGACCAACTTGGATTTCTGGAGGGAAACAAGGTAAGAAATCCTTCAGGCCTTCAATGGGAAATTTGTAGTCAAACTCTTTGTTTTTCAAGTCTGACCTTTTTCCCCCCCATCCTGTGACAGAGCGAAGGTGATGTCCAACCACTTCTGAGGGCCTCAAAGTGGACAAGCCTGAACACAAACAGGAGGTCGGTAAGGAAGCTTTTAATTCAGTTTCAGTTGAAAGTGGGTCAACTTGAAAGATTTAAGCTGCAATTTCGAAACTTTGCCCAGCAGGTGCAGCGTCTTGGTGACCAGGGTGCGGAGTCCACGATGGCACCAACTGGAAGCTTCTCTGCACAGTCAAAATGGGAAAAAAAAAAAACAAAAAAAAAACAAAAAAACACTTGTTTGCATCTTGGCTCATCTCAGAACGTTGATCATGACGTCATGTTTGCTCCACCACCTGCAACAACAAACAGTCATTTTTAAAATCTGTCTTTTCCAACAGAAGCGTCACTGGCGAAAAACATCAACGGTACTTGAGCCTGTCCACTGTCTTCCCGGAGTGGATGCCGATTCAGGTTCTCCGGGGCCAAGAGGTGCTTTGGCACCATCTAGTGGACATGAGCAGAAAGAGACAAAATTAGTACAGGATGTGAAATGTACCTTTTTCAACTGTCCAGAGAGACATTCGTCCCAGTGCAACTTTGGGGGAACCTGCAAAAGAGAAATGTGTTAAAAAATGTTCGCGCCAGCCATTTTGTTTTGCAGCGTGCTCAAACCCAGCAGACACTGCAACGGCCGTTTTCTTGTTTGTCAGGCAGCTCTGGATGAAGTCAAGATGCCGTTTCACCTGCGCACACACAAAAAGGATGTCAGGAAGAGTGAATTGTAGTTATTTACGATGTTCTTACCTTTCTTCAGTTTTGTCCAGGAGCAAAATAGCAACTTGAGGCCGGACTCTCAACTTGCTTTTTCAAGATGTCTGGGGAGCGCAGTTTACAATGAGGTAGTGTACAGCACCAAATTTTGAAATCCTCCCTCTAAGAAGAAAAAAAAAAAAAAAAAAAAAGCCACACATTTGTTTGTGGTTATTACCTGAATCACGTCATCACTCGAAGCCTCCTGTAGCTCATCTTCATGTGCTGAAACGAAATTAAAACATGATTTCAGAGTTGTATGCGTAGGAGTGTTTTTGTCTCTTACCAGTGACGAGCGCAGGGCTGAGCTGGACACCTCGGCAGTGGCCTGCAGCGGAACGGGTGGGCTGAAAAGACAGTAAAATAGTTAGCAGCGTGACTTTAGGTAAGCACATTGAAACAGCCCCCCCCCTCCAAAAAAAAAGTCGCAGAGAGCCATTTTGGCCAGTCACTTGAAGATGCCAAGCCTGTGAACAGAAATTACAACAAAGATCAGAGTCTTATTTAAATCGCGGACATAAAAACGCTGCCAACTTACCTTCTCAGCACGCTGGAAAGGAAAAGAAATATATATCAAACAGTGCCATTTAAAAATTGCAGGCGACTTACCTTTGTAGAGTTGAACAGCCTGAAAACGCGAATTGATGTTAAGTTACAAAAAGTGAGCAATGACAGAACTAAAAAAGAAACTTAAAACGTTCAATTTGTCAAACGCTGGCAACTTACCTTCTCGGCGTGCTGGAAAGGAAAAAAAATTGCAAAACGAGAGTTAGTGCAAAAGGACACAATACCATTTAAAATTGCAGGCGGCTTACCGTGGAAGAGTTGAACGGCCTGAAAACGTGAATTAATGTGAAAAGTTACAAAAGGTTAGCGATGAAAAAACGAAAAAGAAACCTCAAACGTTCAGTTTGTCAAACGCGAGCAACTTACCCTCTCTGCACGCTGTAAAGGAAAAAGAAAATTGCAAAACGAGAGTTAGTTCAGAAGAACACAATGCCATTTAAATTGCAGGCGACTTACCGTGGAAGAGTTGAACAGCCTGAAAAGGTGAATTATTGTTAAAAGTTACAAAAGTTAGCAATGACAAGACAAAAAAAAGAAAGTAAAAGCGTTCACCTTGCCAAGCCTTGTGGTCGTCTTGCCGCGATGTGGACGTGCAGTCAGTCGTCAGCCTGGAGGGGAAAGAGACCGCTTGTTCAATTAGTCGCAGCTTAAATAGGTTTTCGCTAACGACGTCATCACGTTTTGGTTTTTTTCAAAAGCTTTATTTAACAAAGAAGTTAAAAAAAAAAAAAAAACAATTGAGATAAACGATTCCGAAAGAAAATCTCGGTAAATGGGAGGTCGAGTTGAGGCTCGAACTCGCTCTCACCAGACCGCACCGCTTGTCTCTAACCATTAGGCCAATCGTGCTGATGACTTCCGGCATTGAAACTGTTATTTTACTGTCTTCCTCAATTTTGGAGTGCCAATACTATTGTTCATTCGAATAAATATAACCTCCAAATTGAGAATTTTCAAATCCGATTTGGTCTAGTGGTTAAAGACTACTTTGGATTCAGCTGACTCGTGTTCGAATTCCCTTTTCTCCTCACCTGCATTTATGCACCTATGTAGGTGAGCCCGGGGATCGAACCCGAGTCGCCAGAACCGAATGCAAAGTTTTAGACCACTGGACCATCACGGTTGAGTTTTCCGGCGAATTTTTTGTTGTATTCATAGTTTACACCTGAACATGACAAGGTGAAAGAATAAATATAAACTTCAAATTGAGAATTTTCAAATCCGATTTGGTCTAGTGGTTAAAGACTATAAGTTGGATTCAGCTGACTCGTGTTCGAATTCCCTTTTCTCCTCACCTGCATTTATGCACCTATGTAGGTGAGCCCGGGGATCGAACCCGAGTCGCCAGAACCGAATGCAAAGTTTTAGACCACTGGACCATTACGGTTGAGTTTTTGGCGAATTTTTTGTTGTATTCATAGTTTAGACCCGAACATGACAAGGTGAAAGAATAAATATAACCTCAAATTGAGAATTTTCAAATCTGAGTTGGTCTAGTGGTTAAAGGCTACACTTTAGGTTCAGTTGACTCGTGTTCGAATTCCCTTTTCTCCTCACCTGCATTTATGCACCTATGTAGGTGAGCCCGGGGATCGAACCCGAGTCGCCAGAACCGAAGCAAAGTTTTAGACCACTGGACCATCACGGTTGAGTTTTCCGGCGAATTACTTGTTATATTAGTACACTTCAACATGACGGGTTTTGGAAACAAGTATAACTTCCAAATTGTTTATTTTCGAATCGAAGTTGGTCGAATGTTTAAAGACTACGCTTCGGGTTCAGCTGTCTCTTGTTCGAGTCCCCTTTTCTGCTCACCTGCATTTCTGCACACTGCAGGTGAGAGCGGGGATCGAACCCGAGTCGCCGGAACCGGAGGCAAACTTTTAGACCACTTGACCATAACGATTGAGTTTTCCGACGATTTTTTTGTTATATTGATAGTACAAATTTGAACATGACGATGCAATTCCAGTTTGTTACTTTGATGGCGATCAGGGGATACATTTTACTCTCCTTTTCGATCACTCAAAACGAAGTCATCCCCATTCACCACTCTTGAGTGTAGTTACCCCAGTCATTCACAAGAGAGCAGTATTGCAAGGCACCTCGCCCTTCTCCCTTTTCCTCAAACATTTTATCAGGACTTCAGCACACGAGTGTTCTATTTATTTTGTGTGTGTGTGACTGACTTGAACAAAAAGAACACCAAAGTACTGTATTGTTGGTTATTTCAGCTTTATTTGAAGCAACACAGGATGACAAAGAAATTTCACATGTGGAAGTACAGACTGAGAAGTGCATCGCCGCTCCAAGAGCACATTGCATTTCAAGACTTCAAACGTGGGGGCGTTCATCATTCATCACATCTCCTGGTGTGCGTAGCTTTAGTCACCGGGGGGCAGTATAATACTATCATCCATACACAAACGAAGACTCTCTCTTCGAACTGTTGAAAAGGAATCAGTAACTTCAGGAAAAGTCTCCAGATAATCAAATACATCACAGTTTTTATTGCAACCCGTTCGAAAAAACAAACAAACAAATGTGACATTGTTTGATGTCATCCGCAGGAGGGAAGGGCCAATTTGGTTCACTGAGGGGGACGCCAGATTGAATTGCCCCAGTGTCACCCGAAATCGAGCAGCCAGTCAACTGGGAGGACTGGAGGAGGTTGCGGGGTGGGGTAGCACCGAGTGTACCCCCCGACCCCCTCTCATTTTCGGACGAGTGAGCCGGAGATAATGGACGGGTGGAGACGGAGGCACCCACGGGCAGAGGATGATTGAGAGGCGGCTGTGATATCTTCACAGCACCGCGCGTAGCACGGCGTGGAGGGGGGATTTCTCCACATTCCTGTGATCACCGCAGACCTTTCTTTGGCTGCAACATTGCCCTGTTGGGGGTAAAAGATATTAGTTTATTCCATCGTGTGTGTGGGTGTGGGTGTGTGTGTGTGTGTGGGTGTGTGTGTGTGTGTGGGTGTGTGTGTGTGTGTGGGTGTGTGTGTGTGTGTGGGTGTGTGTGTGTGTGTGGGTGTGTGTGTGTGTGTGGGTGTGTGTGTGTGTGTGGGTGTGTGTGTGTGTGTGGGTGTGTGTGTGTGTGTGGGTGTGTGTGTGTGTGTGGGTGTGTGTGTGTGTGTGGGTGTGTGTGTGTGTGTGGGTGTGTGTGTGTGTGTGGGTGTGTGTGTGTGTGTGGGTGTGTGTGTGTGTGTGGGTGTGTGTGTGTGTGTGGGTGTGTGTGTGTGTGTGGGTGTGTGTGTGTGTGTGGGTGTGTGTGTGTGTGTGGGTGTGTGTGTGTGTGTGGGTGTGTGTGTGTGTGTGGGTGTGTGTGTGTGTGTGGGTGTGTGTGTGTGTGTGGGTGTGTGTGTGTGTGTGGGTGTGTGTGTGTGTGTGGGTGTGTGTGTGTGTGTGGGTGTGTGTGTGTGTGTGGGTGTGTGTGTGTGTGTGGGTGTGTGTGTGTGTGTGGGTGTGTGTGTGTGTGTGGGTGTGTGTGTGTGTGTGTATATATATGTATTTAAAGTAAGGCGTTTTTAGCCGAAAAAAACGACCATGTATAGCAGCGGTCGGCAACCTTTGATACCGAAAGAGCCATTTGAACCGGTTTCCACTGAAAAGAAAACACTGGGAGCCGCACATCTAAAATTAAAAAAAACAACCTTCTACTACTTTACCGCAGCATGTTTCTATTGAAATCCACGTGCTACAGAGAAAATTACATTTTATTCATTTAATGAACACATTTTGAACATTTTGAATTCTTGAAAAATAATAACAATGAATGTCTCTTTCAAATAAATTAAAAAGCTGAATTTAAATTGTCCATGTAGCAAACGAAAGCAGAAAAATGCCATGAGGCGTCATCCTTATATCCATTTATCTTATCGAAAATGAAGATAACACTGTATATATTGCTTTTTCTTACCTTTACACTTTGTATAAACAACTATAGTGTGGTTATGTCTTATGAAGTGCTACGGAGAAAATTAAATTTTACCGATGTA